CCAATCAAATCTTTCTCTCAGCCTCACCCCTAGCTGTAAGGGTTCAGGGTTTTGGCATGGTAGGTTATTTAACGAAGGGTGTGTTCGTTTCAGTTCTCTTGCCTACAAGTTGACAGCAATTCCACCAAGGCTTGTTGCCAAGCGAATGCTTCCGAGATTGATGTCGAGATTTGTTCTGGCTGACCCTAGTGCAGAGAAAAATTTCCTCCCTCATCTCCTGACTCCTATCAAAGGTAAAGTGTTGTTTATTACCCAAAACGCACCCATCGTCGTTTACAGCGAGGTTTTTGGTGAAACGCAATGTTGCAAGTGGAAGTTAACCTAACTTTGCTCACGGAAAATCACAGATAAAATCTGCAAGAATTTACTAAATTGAGAGCTGAGAGAAACTCTGTTGGAAAATACCAACTGAGTTTTTTTATGTTTATTTAACGGTGACTTATAAGTCACCGTAAAATAAATTGATCCAACGGAATTCCAGCTGAATTATTCTAACTGCTCTATTCTGTTCTGTTGGATAATTCAGTGGTTCATGAAAGAACTGAGGAAAACGTTTTATCTCATCAGATACAGGATAAATTTCACTATTTGTAATATCGTTGCTATATACTACAATTTGCCTTTCACACAGGTTGTCATTTATATTCCTTGTTCTTGTTCTCGCCGTATCACGGATCGAGTCCTACAATCTGCGTCATTCCTTGTCATCTGTAGCTATGTTTTTTCCCTCCTTGCGGTTTATTTAGCATGTCTGAAGTGCCTCCCTCTTGTTTTATCTATCCTCAAATGTAAAATAATCCTGTGCTCATCATACAGAAATCATCCCAGAAGTGATAATGCACAATGCAATGAAGGTTTACTTAAAACTTTGTGTAGCGCTTTTATGCGAGGGAGATCCTCGTTTGGCTAAGGCCTGTATTTTTGAAGAGTGTTCTTCACGTCTATTTGCCCGTATTGGAGGGTTTCCGTAACTCTTCTAATATCAGGAATTTTTTATGTGTGGTAATCAATTTTAAATGCTGAATAATCCATTTACCTCCAGATGGTAATGATGCTGATTACCAGTCAAGCAACCTCTCTCCAGTTCTCCCAGACGAACTGTTCAGGTAATGGTTTCTTTTTTCTGTGGGGCTACCACAGACCACCCAAACTATCAAAATGTAGCAGGTTTTAGCTTGTATTCAGTGTACCTCATTTCAACGACGGGTTTTTCCAACGTAGGGAGGATTTCTTAATTTTCAGTATTCTTCTAGAAGTTAAGGATCTATAAAGCTTTTTATGCACTTTTCAGTTTCTTGAGTTTTCCAAAATCTTTTCAAAGGACATTGAGCAACATGAATAAGTAACATTTATATGTTTCTCATTTAATATTTGTCTTTTATATTTCCGAGCCATTTTTTTTAATTTCAACTTGAGAAGGTCGTTGGGGCTTTGAGGCTTCCTCAAAATCTTTGTTAGCAGATTTTCTCGATTTCTCTTTAAAAAATCCAAGCAGTCAGATTGTGTTTAAGTAAAAAGGTGAAATATACTCCTGGTGTGCAGTACTCACTGTGGCAAACAGAGACATTTTGCTAATAGAGTGCTTTTCGATTTAGTGCCGTAAAACCCAAACCGAGGTTACCCTAACGGCCGTTTCAATTTAAAAAAAAAAAAAAAAACGGAAAATAGATGAGAACCAAAGCAAATCAAGTAAGCCGCGGGAGACGCGGGAAATCGCGAGTTATCAAATAGCGATCTGGCTTAGTCTTGAATTTGATTGACTGAGAGAAAGGTGCGAGTTAGCTGGGCCGATCAGAGAGCAAAGGTAAGCAAAACAAACTGAATCCAAGATTACTTTCTGCACTTAATTAAAAATTGCTTTAACTTGTTATCTCCTTTTAGAGAACACTGTATTCCCATTTTAATGACTCTATGGTCCATCAGGGACGGACATGTCCGGATGATTCTTCTCAAATATTTTGGTCTCTATGCCACCTCTTTTGAGGAAGAAGTTCTGGAAAATTTCATTCTACCTCAGGTATGGTTTTACTGCAGTAGAGATTAATGGTTACTAAAAGACACTGTGCCGGAGTTTAGTATCAAATTCTGAGCATAGTACACTAGATATCCTTGAGACGCCTATCACTATTCCTTTCGCTTGCTTGAAATTTGTAAAGCGATATAGCTGACAGCTGTTGGAGCTGCCTTAGTGAAGTTTTCCTACCTGGAAGATATGTTTTGCTTTCCTCAAAATGCCGACGCATGAAAAGCATTTACGTCAAAGCAGGAGTTCGGTTACAATCGAATTCAGGTTACCCAACCACCAACCACCTAGCCAGTTCGCCCTGTAAAGTAAAACAGTTTCGCCCCCACCTTTACCATTTTGCCCCCAAATCTTTCAGCTAGTTAAGGTGTAGGGGCAAACTTCCTTTGATACAGAAGGCGAGCTCGCAAAGGTGGTAGGGGCGAACTTGCAATGAGGCGAAACCTCCCGATAGAGGATAGAATATAAGAACGGGAAAACGTAAAACTGGCAGCGGATCGCAAAGTTCTCGCGTTATCGCCTCTCGTGTTCTACGTTTTGCTGCTCAACGCTTTAAAGCGCGCACACGAGAAAAATTGTAGCTACACAGGCTACAGCTTGTTTGAACGAGAAGCCAAATTGCGCACCATTGTGCGAATACGACGACCTTAAGGCTCTGAATATTTGATTATAAAAGCAGGATTTACCCTTTTAACGGGCTTTTAGACTTAGAATGTGACGCGCCTCTCAAGTCGTTTGGAACACGAAAACTATAAGAATGAGGTGGGGGGGGGGGG